CCTAATAAATTTAAACATTTATGCATAAAAAAATACTTAAAATAACAAAAATAATATTATATAAAAAAATTAGAAAATTCAAAAAAAAAATTTTTTTTACCTGAACCGGACCGATCAATGGTCCGGTCAACAGCGGTTTGGCTGGGCGGTTCGGTTCGATCTAGGAGCGGTCTGGTTGGTTCGACAGTTTAGGCCGGTCCAGAGAGCAGTTCGGTTCGATTTGATCAAATCGGTTCAGAGCCGTTGAGAAGTCCAGTTAGCGGGTCGATTGCACAGACCCCGGGTCGGGTTCGGATCAACGAGCAGATCTTCCTTAGTTTAAACGACGTTGTTTTGGGACGTTTATTGAAACAACATTGTTCTGGCTATTGACAGTTTATATAAAAGTTAAAAAAATTTTCTTTCCCTCATTCCTTTCACTCTTCAAAAAAAAAAAACTTTTTTTCTCTCTCATTTTTTTTCTCTCCTGCCAACGTAGATGGCCGGCCGACCGTTCTTCCGTCACTGCCGTCGCCGTTCGTCGGTCACCGGCCGTCGTTGACGGTGGTCGAAAAATTTCCAAAAAATACGAAAACGTTCCCCTCGACCTTCTAAGCTCAGATCTGAGATCCTTCACCAAAAAATGTCCTTACTTCCCTAGATCTGCTAGTGAAGCTTCGGTCAATCTTTTTTTTTTTATATTCTGACTTTTTTTTTTAACTAACCTTGATTTTTCTTTGTGCAGGGGCTCTCGGCGTTGGGTTCCTCCCTGCGGGGAAGACTGTTTAATTTTTTTTTCTTTTGGTTTTTTTTTTATAGAATCTCTCCTTTCTTCTTCTCTGTGTTTTGGCTTCACTAGGAGCTCTATTTATAGAGCTTCAGCCATACGCGCTTTGGAGGAAAGGCATGGGGCTCGATCACGGGATGTAAACATGAGCCCTGTGCCTCTGTTATTTATTTCTATCTTATTGGCGTTTGTCAACAGAGGAGTAATTAGAGGGGTGAAAGGTAGGGTCTGGTGGCAGTGGCACCGGGGACGACACCACTGCCATCCTTAATTTTTTTTGTCTTCTGTTCTCTTTTTTTTGTATTTTTTTGTATTTTTGTATTTTAGTATTTTGTATTTTGTATTATTTTTGGTATATTTTTTTTGTATTTCATATTTTGTAATATTTTTATTTTTATTTTATTTTATTTTGGGACAAAAATTGATGTCTACAATAACCTATTAACAGAACCCTATTATCATGGCTATGCTAATTATTATAACTCGTTAGTTAGGGCCATAGAACTAGTTCTATTGTCAATGATCCCATTTCCTAGGGATACAAATATATAGTTATCATAAAATCATTATTTAAGCATAATCATTTTCTTATTTCATTCATAAGTATGATCCGTCATTTATATAGCAAAATGCAAAGTAATCATATGTTTGACCCTATTTTTATATATTGAAAATAAAAAAATAAAACATTTACTTATTTAAAATATACATATATACATAGGTTCAAAAACAAGTAAAGTGTCTGATATTCTACTTACTCCCTTTCAGTTAGACCACTTATTTTCCCATAAAATAATTAATGGCTTGTTCAAGATTGTTTTAACATATCAAAAATTAATTAACCCTTTTTGAGGCCATTTATACTAAAAACAACTAAGTCATTTAACAATTAACTCAACAAACTAATTATGGCAGTCTGAGTTCTTTTCATTAAAATGATCATAACTCAAATATCTAACTCAAAATAAAGATATTTTTAGTGCGTTAGAAACTAGACTCGATAAGCTTTCTAACCATACATGGCCGACCATGTAATTTCTTATAGATTAATTGTAATAAATTTTGAAATCCATGTTTGGAATTTAGTTCCACTTGTTTTGTTAGAAAATAGACTCAATAATCTTTTTCAAACATGTATGGCTCAAATCGTAATTCATTGTATAAAAATTAAGAGAATTTTCGTAATTTTTTCTTGCTATTGCTGCCAAGCAACCTATACATTCTTATATAAAAATTAAATAACTCTTCATAGAAAACTCGAAATTAACTTCCATTTGTTTCGTTGGAAAATAAGTTCAACAAGCTTTCCAACGATATATGATACTTACATTAATAACGTATCCACTAATATAGAATTTTATTTTAATTCACTATTGTAGATAATAGCATTTCACTCAAAAACAAAATTTTTTCTTTAACCTTTAAAAATCAAAATCTTCACTTTCAGCTTTTGAAATCCATTCAAAATTATCATTAAATCTTACTAATATGCAGAAAACAAAGCCCAATAATTTTTCTAAATAGATAATGAGATTTCATAATTTTTTTCTTGATTGTTCTTTTATAAACTTCAACCCCAAATAATAACAATCAATATGACATTCTTCTTAAATAAAAAGAGGACATATACTCACTTTTAGAAGAATAACTCGATTGTAGTCCCTAATTTTCAGATTTCTAACTTTATTTTCAAGTTCCCTAACCCTAAGGAAGATGAAAAAGAATAGCTATCATTTTCTTATATGTTTTACAATAAACAAAGATGGCTAGGTTTTCTCTCATATAATATATTAATCACTCTTTCTTTTACTAATTAATCTTTTAATAAATTAATAGACTTTGATAATAGTTTAACTTAATTATCATTTAAGTTGGGGTATTATAGTTATTATAATATGTTATGTGTTTTTTTTTTTTTTCATTATGATAGATTCTTAGCCACTTGTTCTTTTACTAATTAATGTTTTTATTTTTGTTATTATAATATATTGTACTTATTTCCTTTTATTGAAAATTAAAATGTTTAAGATTTGATGGGAGTTAAGTTTTAGTGATGGCACATTATGCTAAAGTCTGGGTTGAGTCTAGTGGAGTTTTAGGTGGTGGAGTTTAGCATAGGGTATTTTTCTCAAATTAAATTAATTTTTTATTTTGATTAATGTTGAAATAGTAATTTTGTAATACTAGATAGGTGTTAAAAAAGCTTATCCCTTATTTGTTTAGTTGTAGACAAACATGAATTAGTGGTCAAACTCATACCAAGCTGAGACTTGACTAGATAAATGAATAATAAATTTTCATGCTTTACCAATTTCTTAAAATGTATATATTTCTAATCTATAAAATATATTGAAAGAAATCTCAATTGAAATTATTATAATGTCTTTTTTATTATTTGATAAGGAGTTGACACATGATTAAATTGACTATAATGCTCATATTTTTATAATTGACTAAAATTATTATAATGCTCTTTTATCACAATATGAAATGTCATCCTACCTTAATTGCCAAAATTTTTATAATGTTTTTTTTATCATAATTACGAAAATATCTTTCCTACCAAATTGATTAAAATCATCATAATGCCCCTCCTATCATTATCATGAAAATGTCTTTTGATTGCTCCATAAGAAGTTAATGTGACATTTTGTTTGAAAATTATTATAATATTTCTATTAAATTACATATTAAATTTTAATATAATATAAAATTAACCTCATTTAAATTATTAAAATATTCTTACCATTATTTCATAAAAATTTAACATGTGGCGTTTTGTTTGAAATTTAATATAATATCCCTTTTAAATTATATATTAAATTTTAATATAATATAAACATAACTACATGTTAAATACTAAAATACCTTTGTCATTACTTTATGAAAATTTGACTTGTGATATTTTATAAAATTATTATAATACTCCTATTAAAATACATATTAAATTAATTACATAAAACTTAACTATATATTAAATTAATATAATAAAATTAAAATTAAAAAATATAATGTGATATATATAAATATAAAAAGACATAACCAAAAATTAAATTATTTTTTGATTTTAAATATTTTTACAAAAAAAGTTTATAAACTATAATAAATTGAAAATCATATGTTTGATCAAATAATTAATAAAAATACAACGTTCATAATATAATATAAAAATTAATAAAAAACTATAACACAATATATGAAATACTATATATATGTATATATATTAATTTTAATACTTTGATAATATTTATTATTTTTATTCAAATGTTTGTTAATTGGTTGACTTTTTTTCCTTATTTAAAGTTTGGGACAAAAACATCATTTGCCGTTAAAATTAAAAATTAAAACAAAGAAGAATACTCAAGAAACCGAAGTGAAAATAAAAATATTAAAAAAAAAGTGAGAAGAACCCTCTAGAGAGAAAAAAAAAAAAAAAGAGATTTCATTGTGTTTTAAAATAGTATAAGGAAACGAAATAAGAACTTGAAAAAAAATGAACAAACAAAAAGAGAAGTCATATAAAAGAAAAAAAAAAAAGCACAAGGGAGAAGAAAGATGAGAAAGAGTGAAAAAGAAACTAGAAAGACAAAAGATACGGATCCATGAAAAAATTAAAGAACAATAAGTTTAATACAAGAAAGAAAAGATTACTATTTAAAATAAAAAAATGATTATAGATATTAAATTTTAATTTTAATCTTATTAACTAATATAAATATTACATTTGAATTTTAATTCCATTAAATATTATTTTTTAAAATATTATATAAATAAATTGAGTTTAATTTTTAATTATATATAATTAAAATAAATAAATATATTTTTATATTTAAAATTATTAAAATTTAATTCCGATGATGAGAATTAAAAATCTAATATTTAACCAATATATCACCTGATTATTGCATATATAATCATATAATCTTTATTACCGTTAATTGAAGATGAACCCCGCAAGATTAAAAGAAAAAAAAAAAACAAAAGAAAGAAATATCCATTCTAATTTTTATAGTAAAAAAAAAATTGAAGAGGGAGAATCTAAGAATAAAGATACCTTAATCTCCTCGTTACAATGACAAATTAACACTTGTCAACAGTAAAGTCAGATATTTTTCAACTCCCAATAACGTTTGCCACGTCTCTCTTCAAAATTGGCAAAACGGCAATCCATATTTACCCCTTACTAAAATCTAATTATTACCACTAACAATAAAACCCCAGCTTACGTGGCAGCGTAGGGTGCTTCGCTCAAAATATCCAAAAAAATAAAAAAAATTAAAAAGCCAAGTCCTACCACCTCCCACGCATCCTTCTCCCGCAAAATTGCTTGTTGCCGCGGCCACTCTTTTAGTAGACAAAATTGAGCCTTCGGATATCCTGTAATTACCAGAGCTGCCACTGTGGTGGATTTCAGGCGACGGTTAGATGGAGGCTGGGGTGACGACGACGACGACGACGACAACGGCGTCGTTTAGTTCGATACTTGATAAACCCCTCAGCCAACTAACCGAAGAAGACATTTCTCAGCTCACTCGCGAAGATTGTCGCAAATTCCTCAAAGAAAAAGGTTCTTTTAATTTATGAGTTTTTTTGTTTCCTCTTTTGCCCTTTTTGGTCGCCGATTTTCTTAACTGTATCCAGAATCCCGGAAAACATGGTGAGACAGGAAAAAACGTAATATTTAACGATTGACACGTGGCATTACAGGAATGCGGAGGCCGTCGTGGAACAAATCGCAGGCGATCCAGCAAGTGATTTCACTAAAGGCGTTGTTGGAGAGCAACGACGATTCCGGCGCCGGAGCTCTCCGGAAAATCCTCGTTTCCCCGCCACCGCCGTCAGTGTCTCCACAAAATGCAGCGGCGCGTGTGAGTTCACTTCTCTCCTTATTTGTTTTCTTTTGCTTCACTTTATTATCTTTTTGGGTACATTTTACTTCACTTTGTTAGTTAGAGAAATAGACAATAATTTTGGAATCCTCTGTTTAGGTGGCTTCGAATTCAGGCGATTCAGTAAAAGAAGGGGAATTTGGAGAAGAAGAAAGCCCGTATCGGCGAAAAGATCCTCCTTTGGAACCTGCTCCCGTAGGGGAGATAAATTGCCGGGGCGGTGACACGGATAACAAGAATCTCTCTCCTAGGTTTATTTATTTATTTTTTATCTTTAGTATTTGGCACTTAGCAGTATTTTTTGAAGTCAATTTTGTGTTAGTGTATTTTGCATTGAGGGTTTTCATCCATGTCCTTTGATAGATCTAAAAGTTTACTTGGATTTTGTAGTTTATTGAATTTTTAAGAAAGCAATGAAATTCAAAAATTGGGTTTTCCAAAGGGATGATATTTATGGACTGTTTAAAATTTTCTTTCAATTTAGAATAGTTTATGTTTGAGTTAAAATCCTGTTGTGCTATCACCTTTTCCTTCCATTGATGCATGGACATTGCAGCTAAGTGTTGACACCTTGACACTGGTCATATAGTCAAGGCTAACAGTTAACAACTCGCATGTCTGATTTTTGTATTTGTGGATAGGCTATATTACCAATTTAGATGGGGTATTAGTATACTTTTGTTTTGAGTATTCTTTACTTCAAGTTCTCAATGGGAGTATTTGAAATTGTTTGACAGACGTCCATGTGAAACAAATGAGTTGGGTGGGCAAATGACGATTTTCTACTGTGGAAAGGTTAACGTGTATGATGGAGTACCACTTGATAAGGTAATGAAGCTTCCTCTTTCTGTGGATACCTGGAGAACAATGTTAGCATGTTGGCCTTCCAATGCATCCAAATATGGGTTTGCAGGCACGGGCAATCATGCAACTGGCAGCGAATCCTATTGATTTTCCTCAGGACAATATATGTAGTGGAAATGCTGCCCTTAGATCCTTTGTGTGCAATGTACAAGCTGCCAGTGACAAAAATGGCCTTATTGCTTCTGATGCCTTGAACTCTCATACCATGCAAACAGGTTAGATTTGGAATGGATACACGAACTGCTTTCTTTGGCTATTGCAAGGAAGCAAATTATGATGTTTGAAGATTATTTAAGCTATACTTGAACTGTAGCTACATTTTAGTTAATCAAAGAAGAATTCAGAAATTGGTTGTTTCTGATGTTTGGAGCGGATTAGCATGACTGTGTTTGCACTTGAAACATATCTCTTTGTTATCTAAAAAGAAGGAAACTAACTCTCATTATCTGTAATTTTTTGTGACTATGTTTTTGTAAGTTGTATATCTCTTTTTAAATGGTATATGTGCATCTCATGCATCTCTCGACTAGTGGTTTTAGAACAGAAATAGAGCATTAAGAGCTAGATGCAGTCTAAACATTTAGGTCTTATAATAAACAATAGATAGAGTCTCGGCATGAAAGTGGCACATGCTTGGTTGCTGAGATGAAGATAAATCCAACAATATCATGTGGTTGGCTTTTTTTTTTTTCTTTTCAAATCTTATTGCTAAAATAGTAGCTTGGTGATAATTTATTGACAATGATTACAATTAACCTTTACAGAGAATATGGCAGAATACCAGCAGCAGTTTGGGGAAGAAGTAAACATCACTCGTGACTCTGGTATGGCTTTTTTTTTCCTTGTTTTATTTTTTCTTCTATACTCTTCTATTTATAAATGCTATCATAACTCTTGTTTGGTGGAGTAATAATTCTATACATAAATAACTTTAGAGTTTTGAATTTTAATGGCTTTATTTTGCCACCAAATGCTAGGTCTAGCTTAGCATTCCTTTATCATGATGATAATTAACACAAATGTGGAGAAATCACTAAGAGAATCAGCCATAGGGTTTTATCTACTAAAAACCTTACCCATTGATTTTGCTATAGACATGGTTATAGATGAAGTCTAAAATGAATACATGACAATAGATTAGTATGGAACCTCATGCTACTAAAATTAACATCAAGGAGACTGGTCCTAACTTATTTGTCATCATTTAGAAGGCTAGTTGCTGCAGTGCTGGAGTTTATTTCCTATTTTTATTTGCACAAAACATTAAAGCAAGTGCTTGATCATGTTAGTTATTGTAGGTAAATAAGACTCTTGAAAAGCGTATCCAGATGGTTTCTTGGAAAGATCTCAGTGCCTTGGGACATTGATAATTTACTGGTGACTGGGGAATTAAAAGTATTTTATTCTTGATAATATGCTCTTTATTTCCTGTTTTAACACTTGTTGCTTGGTCTTAAGATGTAGAAGGACAGGTGAACAGAAAATTATCATTGCAGAGATATCTTGAAAAGCGAAAAGACAGGTACTTATAGTAGTTAAGATATCATTTACTCTGATACCACTAATTTCAAGTTACTATAACACCTTCAAGCTACTAAATGTTTCCAACGTTAAATTTTAATTTCTTTTCGGCCTATTCTTTATTGGGGAAGATTTTTGAAGGGTGGAAAGAATATAGGACAAACTTCTACTAGCTTGGAGATGTACCTGAACCATCAGATAAGAAATCACAACTCAAATGGACAATCAAGCCGGAGCAGCACGAGTTCTCCACCACAATCTGTATTGCCACATGCATTTTGTAGCTCAACTGACAACCAAGCAAAACTTGCAAATCTTTCTGTAGATCTCAATGATGAGAGTAAGCTATGAAGTTATTTTCTTTACATTTTCTATTATGTAAATATGCTACTTAGTTTGTATTCACAACTAGTCGAGAGTAATTCTTGATGGTTAATCTCATGTATTGGGTAAAATTCTGGTTCTTGTAACAACTGTGGCTGAAGGATGTGCATATATATAATTGCTGAGGAACAGTTTTGGCTATCTTTTTGTGCATATATATAGATTGTGGAGAACAATCTAATAATTTCGCTACTATTAAATTCTGTGAGATTTCTAGTTTACAATTGGCCGTGTATTGTTTAACCATATGAAATAGTTCATCATGGAGTTTTATTTCGGCAATATGGTGATATATATTTCCTTTGTTTTGCAAAATATTTGTATCAAATGAACCCTTTTCTTTTTTTTGGCATAAGTTATCAAATGAACCTAATTCATCATATTTGCTCCATCATAATTGCTCATTACTTGTGCATGTCATCCCGAGTCAACTTTTGAATTATGCAGGGGTGGAATCTAATTTGTGTTTTGATTTCCATGCAGGTGTTCAAGAACTCTGAATTAAACATGCTTTATACATCTGAACATTGAGAATCAAGTAAAGAGATGTTCTTTAGGTGCATTACCATAGCAGACATAGAAGGGAAGAAACAGTAACCTGAGAGCCTTCTACATGCCTGCATATTATATGATTTGGCTTCTAAGGGTTGAGTTTCTTACTCGGAGAATCCTCTTTCGAATGTTAAGAGTTTCACAATCCTCTGATCAATTTTGTACCTTGGAAGTTCGGAACCATCTTCGGTAATTTCGTGTTTCTGATGTTAGGAGCTATTGGCTTTGAAGTATAGAGCCACGCACTTGCAGCGGCTAGCACTAGCAGTGCTTTTCTTTTGCGTAACCTTTGTATGTAAATTTTGACTACCTTTGGCTGTGCTAATAGCTTACTATTTTACTGGTTGAAGTAAGCTCTATTTCTATCAACGAGTATCGTCATCTATATTTAGAATTTAGGACTCAATTTGGGCTATGGTGACATGATTCCATGCAGATAAGCTTTTATTTACCCCCCTAATCCTCATTTTTAATTTGAAACCTTCTAGAGTTGATAGGAGGAATTTTGCTAACAAGCCTTTATGTTGCAACAATTACATTAACAAGTAATGATCCGCATGGTTTGACTGTAAGTGTTAGTGTTGGAAAAGTTGGTTTTGAAAAGCTAATTCCTCGTAAATTTATCAAATCTAGCGTAAAAAAAAAAAAAAAGTTACTAGAGTGAGAAGTTTAAAGTAAAATTTTGAATGTATCATCTATTTATTATTATTAGTGATTACTTTCTTCATTTTGGTATATTAGCTAATAATATTATATGGTTGATTTTTTTTTTTAGGTACACCATACTTTATGTGGTTGAAAACAGTCCATCTCTGAATTCCCATTTCCAAATTATAGACCATAAAGTGAAAAAATAAAAAGAGTTCAATTAACGCCAAAAATAATATTATTTGGATTACTAAGGCAAACACCACAAAAACAACAAGAGAAAACCAGACGTCACACGTGGCAAACCCACGATTAAGCGACAGGAACACTCGACCTCCACCAACGATAAATACCAAACGAAACTCACTCAACTTCAAGTCTTCAGCGTTGAATCCGACTCATCACGCATGGCTATCGAGGTAAGTTTCTTCGCTGCCAGTTTCATTTCTAAGCTCAATCAAATTGGAAGCTCTTGCAAATTGGTTGATCGACAGTATTGGCTGTTCTTTTCAAATGAAAAAAAAAAAAAAGGCTTGGTTTATGGATGAAAGCAAAGAAGATCAAAGGCTTCCTCATCAACGCAACCCCAACGAGCCTGTTTCGTTGGACCACTTGGCGGGTCAGTTTCTTTTCTTCTCTGCTCTTAGATTTTCTGGGTTTTACTTCTGTTTTTGGGTTAATGAAAATGGTGCTGATAAATGGCAGTGCTGGGAGTGCTGTATTGGCATTTGAACCCCAAGGATTACGAGAATGATGAGGAATTGAAGAAGATCAGAGAAGCCAGAGGTTACAATTACATGGTAAAACTTTCTGTTTAAGTTCCCTGCCCAATTAGCTTTCTCTATGTATGCTTTGCCTGCTCCTTCATGCTCTTGGTATGAAATTTTGAAGCATCTGATGAAAAGCCTTTTCCTTTTTCTTTTTTTTTTTTTTTTGTTCTTTTTGATTGGGGAAAGGGGGATTCTAATATATATTTTTGAGTAGAGGAAGCCATTGAGCTTATTCTTTGCAAATCAATAGTATAAAAGTCCTTTTTTTCTTTCTTTAATCTTGAAATGACTCTTTATTTAGAGTGACAACATCCCCTACACCAGGAATTTTGTTTCTAATAGTCAATACATAAGTATACTTCAAGTAAAAATGAAAATATATTATGTGCTACTTTTTTCTTACTTTGACTTTTTAGACAAGGTAAGCAAACAAGCAAAAACTTAGTGATTATGTGTTACTAACATTCGGGTGAAAATATGATTCATGATATTTTTAAGTTCTGAAAATATGATCTAGTGTGATTGAATGTAGTCTGTAATTTAAATCAGACATAACTTACAAGTTAATTTCATGGTATATGGTTATTTTGCTTTTCCTTTATACCTAAATGGTGGACTTGTGTTGTATTTGTAGTTTTTGTTAGGTTGTGTAACCATAATGATATTGTAAATATGAAGAGGATGAAGATTGATAGAATCCAGTTCTGTACTCAATTCAAAATAAAAAGCTAATTGCAACATAGGCAAAAAAAAAAAAAGGGTTACAACTGGACTTCTCATTTCTTAATATAGTACAGAGTGTCTGTAAGGACTAAGGAGTTGTTTAGTTGCTTAGTTTTTACTTTCAAGAGGAGGCCTTTAGAAGCAAAAATTGACTAAGGCATCATGTTGGTCGCATAGGATTTGCTTGATTTATGCCCAGAGAAAGTTGCTAACTATGAGGAGAAACTGAGGAACTTTTATACTGAACACATACATGCTGATGAAGAGATACGCTATTGCTTGGAAGGCAGTGGATATTTTGATGTTAGGGACAAGGATGACCGATGGATTCGAATCTGGATCAAAGCAGGTGATCTCATCATATTGCCCGCCGGAATCTACCACAGGTTCACTCTTGACACCAGCAATTATGTCAAGGTAAGGAAATGTGCAAAATCTCATGCTTTAGCATAAAGGGAACCAATTTATAAGTGAATGTGGATGTCGGAGCTGTGATTGATTGAATTTGCGTGTTACAACATGCAGTTAATGAGGTTGTTTGTGGGAGAACCAGTGTGGACAGCATATAATCGGCCGCAGGAGGATCACCCTGCAAGGAAAGAGTACACTAAAAGTTTGACCGAGAAAGTAGGGGTGCCACTAGCAGCTCATTAGAGCTTTTGAGCATCAGCGGTTATGCAGTTGTGTCTCTGCTTGTGTTGTCTGCGTATCTTATATGATATTCATAGTTTCATTATATTCTCAAATGCGAAACTTGGTAAAACCTTAAATAGCTGTATATCAAACATTGAACTCTTAATACTAAATTGTTGTACTTCTAGTTATAATTTGAAAGCATAACTACTTATCGTGACGTATGACTGTTTGAAAGGGAAATGCAGGGCAAGGAGGTAATGCCTGTTATGATGCATCTTATTTCATCTTATCATGAAATGAGGATTGCTGCTTATCTTCTTCATCTTCTCCCAAATGACAAAGGTTGATCATCAACTATTCAACTTTCAATTAGAAGTGTTATTTGGTGATAAAAGTTTTGGTTTGTTTTATTGAGTCTCCAAAAATGAAGTCTGAGAAATTATTGAATTCTTTTAGCATTCCCTTGACACTTTCAAAACAGGTAAAAAGAAGTGCGAGTTCTTCTGTCCTTGCATGGAAATAGAATTCTTGACTTCTTGGACCAGAAAAACTTGCTTCATCCCTGCTTGGTTTCAAGAACAAAAAAAAAAAAAAAGCAATGAACATCATAACAGGTTGACCACAAACTAGAAAAATATTTAAATAAACATTATAACATGTTGACAAGAAAGGAGAGATTGTAATAAACATCATACAGGTTGACAAGAAAGGATAAAATGTAATCAAATGATAACAGGTGGACTGGAAACTACCAAAAAAAAAATGCAAATTGAACGTTTGATATTTTGATCCCATTGGTTCAAATGAAAACAATGGACAAGCAACCAAAACCAATGTGCGGCGGAATTTAAGGATGGCAAAGGTCCTAAAAGATTTTATTCATCCGACTTGATATTAGATTATTATTTTTATATTTAATTTCAATTTAATCTATATTTTTAATATCTGATTTTAATTTAATATTTGTATAATTAGTATGTAATCTGAATCAATTTAATAATTTTAATTTAAAATAATATTAATAAAAATATTTATTTTTAATATAAATTATATTTTAATTATATATAAATATAATATTTTTATTAAATTAATGAATTAAATAATAATTTTATTAATATAATCTATATAATTAAATAAATAATAAAAAAATTAGTATTTGATACACTATTATTATAAAATTTGAATTATACAAATAGGACTAAATAGGTGACCCATATATTTTTAAAAAAAACTAATTAAAAAAGAATGAGATATGTGTCATCTAATTAATCTTAATTGTATAATTAAAATTTTACATTAACAATGTATTAAATTTTAATTCATAATATATATATATCTCTATATGAGTAACCTTAAAATCTACCTTCTATTCAACTCAATTTAAAAAAAAAAAAAAACTTATCCCACCACCCATCATGCTTTGATTTAAAAAAAAAAAAATCTATCAAATTGAAAGAAGTTGAAATCCATCATATACGAATAGTTTTACCTTTCATATTAACAATTGCTATCTTTCTTTAAGAAAAATATAAGATTTAAGTTTGATTTAAAAAAAAAAAAAGATTTAAGGTTTGAATTCTCCTGCTCTTGAATTTTATGAACCAGAAAATAAATGGCCTTGAACATAATTTTTACTATAGGTATATACTTTTACAATGATAATAAAGAACAATTATAATATTATATAGCATGATAGAATTCAGAATTATTGTTTGTAGATTTATTAAATGAGAAATTATTTAATATATAATCAGTGAATTTTTTTTAATTTTATAAATAGAGTTAATAAGGTGATATTAAGTTTAATTTTTTTTTTAGATTATTATTATTTTATTTTTTAACATAAACTAAGAAATTATTTTGTTAATTCGGTTTGTAGAATTAAAAAAATTTTATTATTAATATATTTATAATTTTTTATTAAATCATCAAATTGTATCCGGTCTAATTAAAAAGAAAAAGAAAAAGAAATATTTCAATTATTATTGTACACAGTATTAATAAAATTTTTAAAATTTTCGAATGAAATAAAAATATTGTCAATTATCTTATTATTTATTATATTAATTTATTAAAATTTTAAATTAAAAAGAAAAAACTTAGTAAACAAAAAGGAAAACTGGCTAAGGGATGATCTGAGCGCTGATGTAAGCCAAAGCCATGTATTCAAAACCAAAACAGAAAGCAGACCAGTCAGCCTTCACATATAAAATGACAATAAAGCCCCTTTAACGTTTCGAAAGGATTCAATTAATCTGGATGTTTTAAATCATTCTCAACCCACACGCCCAAATAAATATTAAGGGTATATCTGTCTTTCCATATTCTATCGAGTGACTTTTTAAACTCGTCCGCAAATTCTCCATCTCGTAGGGATGCCTCTAAGCGCTTCTGGAAAAAAGGAATTTGACCGAAAAAAAAAAGCTGTGAAATATGGGTGCTTCAGACAAGGTAATCTGTTTGTTTCATTGGAAAATTTGTATATAACATCATGAATTTTCCCGCGAAAATTTTGCTATAATCAGTTTTCATATCTCCCTGTTTTTGGAGGTAGTGTTATGTTAACTGTTTGGCATTTGGATTTTAGTGTTTCTTTGTTCAGAAGCTGCTGAATTTGAGGTGGGTCTTTCTTAAAGCCGGTGAATAGAAAAAGGGATTTTTTTTTATTTTAAATTATAGGCATAGAATTGATAAAGCTATTACCTTTATTTCAGTTATTGACATGACTTTGTAAAGTGAAGCTTTATTGGATATCTCTATGTAGTTTTTTGCTCCTTTTCTTTTTCATTTTTTGGCCAGTTGTTTTTTTCTCTTTTTCAATCTTCATGTCTTGTCAACATAGATCCTTGTTGATATATTGCTTGAATCTTTTACTTGATATATTAGAAGTCAAAAATCCAATTTTATGTGGTCATTTTTAAAGAATGACTTGAGGATAATTAAGTCCTCATATTGAGGGTTTGATTGATAGGTTTGTTATGAGACTCCTAATGATTACTTAGAATGCATTGTTTTAAGACTAAATGTGACATTGAACCTGCTAAACTTTTCTGATTCAATTCATTCTGCTGTCTTCCCATCCTTGTTTATGACATGGTGTTGTGAGGCGTAAGTTCTAGGGAAGGGTTCATAAAATAGTTAATGTTGAATGTTGGATTTTCCTTGGTTGAACGTTCTGTATATGTTCCAAGAATAATTGAAAAAAAAAAAAAAGAAGAGGTTTTCCGCAGTATTTCTGAATTTTGAGTTATGTAGAGGGAGGAAGTGATTCAAGCATGGTACATGGACGATAGTAATGAAGATCAGAGGCTTCCCCATCACCGTGAGCCTAAGGAATTTCTGTCCTTGGATCAACTTGCTGGTAAGCATCTTAGATAAGAAGCAATTCATCAAAAGATTTTCGATAGTTTACTCATTTTAGGTTGTCATGTTTACCTCGCAGAACTTGGAGTACTCAGTTGGCGATTGGATGCTGACAACTATGAAACTGATGAGGAATTGAAGAAAATTCGTGAAGATCGTGGTTACTCCTACATGGTGTGTACCTTATTTTGTTTTCTTTTCCCTTTGATTCCAATGCAAACAAATGAATCATTCTTGGCCTTAAGCCTAATCCAAGGAGTAGTTGTTTTAATCTCATAAGTAGGGTTTACTAGCCATGAAAGAATTTTCATTTTCCTGTTGTTTCATTTGTATTGATAACATTGGATCATTCAATATTTGGATAGTTAGTTGATTCAAAAAGAAGACTTATAGTTTTTCTTCTATTTCTTTCTGTGTGTCACTTAATCAGTTCTTTTTTAAGCTTCTGAGTTTTCTATTCTTCCTAGTTCCTCCTAATAGCCTGTAATCGGATTGTATTATGCTTGCATTGACAAGATACTCTTTTTCTTCAGGACTTCTGTGAGGTTTGTCCAGAGAAGCTGCCAAATTATGAAGAAAAGATCAAAAATTTTTTTGAAGAACATCTTCATACTGATGAGGAAATTCGTTACTGTGTGGCAGGAAGTGGTAAGATCCTGTACTGGCTGTTTTTTTTAGCGATAATCATTTTTCTCACCAATTTCTGTCTATCTGACATTTTTTTTTTGGTGAAGGTTATTTTGATGTCAGGGATCACAATGATCAATGGATACGCGTGTGGGTAAAGAAAGGAGGCTTGATAGTTTTACCTGCTGGGATTTATCATCGCTTTACTCTGGATACAAACAACTATATTAAGGTACTAAGCAACCCACTTCCCCTGTCTATTCTCCCAGAAAGTGGACTTTCATTGAACACATTGTTGTAGAAGGTTCACTTCATTCATTTATTTTGACTATCATTTAATAAATGATTGTGAAAGTTTGGTAATGTTTGAAAAGGATTACTCTGCTTATCCAACCACTTCCACCTCGTGAACTGTGCAAGTGACTTTTTTTTCTTTGCCTCTATAATCTGATTATCAATATGGGTATCCTTATTAATTTGATTGATGTATGTGAAAGGTTGGTTTTTATTTTTGAAAGGATGATTGCTTTCATCGTCGTCAACTGCCCAAGTTCTTTCCTTTTTGTCTTCCATTATGCTTCTTCTGTTTATTCATGTGGGTTAATGCCGTCTATAGAGCCTTATTATAGTTTCTCTAGAAGTGCTTGTGATCTTAAGAAATTTTTAAATATATTTGTTGGTATTTCTCTTAGCATCAATTCTGAACGTAGAGATTTCCTCACAAATTTATCCATGTAGGCAATGCGGCTCTTTGTTGGCGATCCAATCTGGACTCCATACAACCGTCCTCATGATCATCTTCCTGCAAGGTATTTTTCTTCCTTCCAACATGGTGAAATCTATACTGTCTTCATGTTGCTCGTAAAAAGCATTTGAGGGGCTTAATCGTAAACATTTTATTTCTGTTGCAGGAAGGAGTATGTTGAAAACTTTTTGCATAAGGAAGGTAGTGGTCAAGCTGTTGATGCTGCTGCATGAAATTGGCATTTGTCTCTTTATTGGGTCTTAAACCCTGGATTGGCTGTAATAAATAAGTCTAGGCGTTTCTGCTTGTAATTTGTGGTATGTGTTGGTCATTTTGCTTAAACGTATGGCTTGTTATGATTGTAGCTTGCTATATTGCTAGTCCATACTGACAACTGGCAAACCTGCCCATGTAAATTATGGGTTGGGCTTTTGTTCATTAGTTTTTCTCATTGTTAAATATATTCGTCCATACCTTTCATATCTCTAAGTTTCATCTATGAATTTTGAAAGTGATCCTTGAGATATTAATTAAAGTTGTATTGAAAAATAATGGATAAAAAAAAATTATGGAGGGGAATGAACTTATGGAGTATATTCAAAGGACAATGATATCTTGATTTGCATGGCATTAATCTTAGGATAACAACAGTTTGATTGGGATTGATTTTGAACAAAAATTATGGTTAATGTGTAGTGTTTTGATTTGTTCAAAATCAAACTGAATCAACTTGATCAAGTCCAATGGTTGAAAATCAAATTAAACATAAGCACTATATATATATATATATATATCTAATTTTTTGCACAAATTTAAAAATAAAGTATTTATTTCTATATTATAAAAAAAAAAGTAATTAAAAATTATTAAAAATATAATTTGATTCTATTTGGTTAATTTTAATTCTTCAACTACACAAAAAATAAAATAAAATTGAAAACTTCCTCCACTTGCTTTTCAAATTCTTCTTAAATTTGCCCGTGCTGAGTATATTCGGATAACTTCTACACTGATCTTCCAATAAATTACCAAAAAAAAAAAAAAAACCATTGCTTGTAGTATTATTATATTGCCTAAGACCCATCTCTAATCACGTGTTTTTGCCTTTGATATCGTGGCTACTTGGAAGTTTGCCACCTATTGCCTTACTGGTGTCGAATGAAGTGAAGTTAATCTTTCATCTCATCAGCTTTTTTCTGACGCTAAGCCACGTGTCCAAAATTTTGGATTCCATTTTTGGCCTTTCCTTTTTTAGGGAATTTGGGTCAAGTATTTGACCAATATGACATAAATATTAATGATAAAAATATTTTGTTTATTACCCTTGAGTTTCACTATTGAGTTTTAATACTGTATGATAATTTATATATTTGTAGTATATTTATTTTTTTATTAAATAAATATGTAATATAAAAATTATTATATTATAATTTATATCGATATAATAAATATAAAATATTTTTTTATTTTTATTAAATTTATATATATTTTAAACAAAAATTTTAATTTATATATTAAAATTGAAAATTTTGAATTTTAAGTATTTCTATTGTTAACATAAATTTTACATTATTTATTAATTAAAATTTGATAACGCAAGCAGGGATGTTTTCATGTTTTGTTTGAATATAATCTTTCCTTCAAATAAATTTAAAAGCACATTTCAATAACCAACGTGATACATTTAAAATTTTATTCTTTTCATCACCCCGCATGACAAATCCTAACGGACAAGGTTAGAACTTAAAAGTAGGTAAGGAAAATATAACACTTTAAGCAATTGGATTGAGATGAAAACATGGGAAATAAAAGAAAGAAACATGACATGTGATTATCTTTGGACTTCACCATCCCAGTCCAACCTCTACACTTTTCAGCACCTGATAGGAACACAAAAAGTGCAAACCAATGACATTGTGCCACATTACCCAAATAGAAAGTACCGACACCAAAGAAAAATTCTCCGAATCAAATTCAATATTAAAGACCTAATCTAATTTAGCCATAAAAACAGGGGTTGGCCAACCACATATCACCATCAACAATATCTAGTGAATGAAAATATCAAAAAGATTGTAGGGTCCAATAAAGAAGGTGTCCTAAGTCCTTGACATAAGGCTAGAATTTAATAATGGACCAAAGTTGAATTCCCCTATGATTTGTGCAGATAATAATGCTTACATACTTAGATATTTTCCAATAAAAAAAAGAGAAATAGCTAGATATTTTTGGGAACCCCAAACCCTTTTCCCTAACTCTCCAACCAGAGATGAATTTCGGGGTGCAATTCTTCACACCTCCTAGATTCTGTCACTGTACCTTAACGAAAAGTTGTACATGACGAGGTCATCCTGTTTTTTCGAGGTCCCAAAATAACAGCAAAAAGCAGAGACAAGTTACTTGATTTCTATTTTAGGGACCCAAAAAACCCCCCAAAAGAGCAGAAAAGAAATGCTAAAATCCTTTTCTTAAAAATATAGGTTTTGAAAATTATCAATTATCTAAAATCTATTCAGAAACTACAATTAAATGCTGATAATTTATGTTTTTGTATTTTGTTTATTTAGTGTTAAATATGTATAAAATATTAAAATTATTATATTATAATTTATATTTATATTTTAAATATAAAATATAATTTTTTAATTTTTATTATATTTTTATAAAATTTTATTAAAATTTTAAATTAGATTATTTTTATATTTTTAATATTATCATATTATATTTAAAATTATCAAATATATCTACAACGCAACTTGTAGCGATTGAAGTAGCATAACTTTCTGAACCACAATTTTAATGCCATAGAAAGGGAACTAAACAGGAAAATCCCTCAGTTTCTTTAGAATGTTCTCTGTCTAAAATTACAGAATTCATATCCATTTTTGCTGGTAAATCAAGAAAAATTAAAAAAAAAATTAAATGTTAACTTTTGCATAATTATACACTCTTACCCTTCAAAAATCTTTGTCCCTGTGACGAAATACAGTAATAGAACAAAACTACAAAAAAGCTAGCCAAATGACTTTCCTAAAGAAGTAACCTGTAGGGTAGAGAGCAAAATATCTCAGTATAGTCAATACCACTCCATTCTGGTTTCTTTTTGCATCATTAGTGTCCCAACCGACCAAAAGAAAAAGAAATGAGTAAAAAATGTAAAGTAACGCGTAACATTTTTTTTATTGACTATTTATATAAACTAATTACACCTATGTTCACATCTGTCTCTTGTGGTTCAATTCTTCCATTTGTTTTCTGCTTCTTGGTCTCTCTAACCAGTGAACTTTTGGCTCCTATCATAACCTGAATTCAATCTCACTTCCTTGCTTCTTTTTTTCAAAAATTATTATTTACATGCATTTCAAGCTCCATTTTTGAAAGCTCTTTCTATCACTCAATAGCCCAACAGAAGTTCAATAGCTTACTCAACTGCGTTTATATTTTTTTACATTTACATTGATATACAACGAAAAGGAAGCTAACCCAGATCAAGTTTTCACTTTTTTTGTTTCCTGGTGAATAAGGAAACATGAATCCTTGTGGAAGAGTTAAACAAGAGTTTCCAGGAGCAAGCTCATCATATCCTGGTATGCCTTTTATGGGTAACCCTCAACCAATGGAAGGACTCCATGATGCAGGTCCTCCTCCTTTCCTCACAAAAACATATGATATTATTGATGATTCAAGCACCAATCACATCATCTCTTGGAGTAGAGGCAACAATAGTTTCATTGTATGGGATCCCCAGGCATTTTCCATGAGTCTTTTGCCTAGATTCTTCAAGCACAACAATTTCTCAAGCTTTATCAGGCAGCTCAATACCTATGTAAGTAATACTACTAGTTTTTCTTTTTTGAAGTAGACAGTGATTTTATGAGCTCTAGGAATTGTGTTAACTTTTTATCCAATTTACTGCATTAAAAAGATGAAAAACTTTCTCGATAAAAGTAGTAAAATTTGCTTTGAATGGTATTCGAAACTGTGTAAGTTTCTGTAGATGTGATTTAATCCATGTTCATTCTTATTCATGAAAGAGCTAGATTGTTTATTTTATGTATATTTTTTTCTGGTTTTTCTCTTTGTAAAAGAGATTTAACTGGTCCCTTTTTCCCTTTTTGTTTAATGAGCTTAATTACTTATTATGGACATTTTTGTTTGTTTACTAGGAAATGGAAGTGCAGAACTCAGAATACATATAAAACATACATTTCATTCACTATTGTTATGTTGCTTTGGCATCTGCTCTGGCAGTGCTGTCACTTCAGAATTATTACATTTTATGGGAGTTAGATGTGTCAGTTTAATCTTCTTAGATATTGAAGGTTGAGAAACACTTAATTCCTACTATTGATTCAATGTTATTGATTTTTTTATATTTAAGGCTGCTAAAATTTGATTTGATTAGCATTTTACTAATAAATCACACGACTGTTAATGATGTTATTCAATATTATAGCCTCTTTTGTCCCCCCCTTTTCGTTTGTCTCCCATTTTGAATTTGATCATGAAGAATAAAGATTTGATTCATGTAGGGGTTTAGAAAGGTTGATCCAGATAGATGGGAGTTTGCTAATGAAAGGTTTCTTAGAGGGCAAAGGCATCTGCTCAAGAATATTAGGAGGAGAAAGACCCATCAACCTCAGGCTTCACAGTATGCTGTAGATCCTTGTGTTGAAGTTGGGAGGTTTGGACTTGATGGAGAGATTGATAGGTTAAGGCATGACAAGCAGGTTTTAATGATGGAATTGGTGAAACTTAGGCAACAAGAGCAGAACACTAGAACTTGCCTGCAAGTGATGGAAGAAAGAGTAAGGAAGACTGAGATAAAACAGCAACAAATGATGAACTTCTTGGCCAAAGCAGTGCAGAATCCAAACTTTGTTCAGCAACTAGTCCAACAGAAAGATAGGAGAAAAGAACTCGAGGAAGCAATCACCAAGAAGAGAAGGCGGCGGATTGATCAAAGGTCCAGCAGTGTTGAAACTAATGAAATAGGCCAGGGTGTGGGAGGAGGAACATTTGTCAAGACTGAACCTGAGGCTGCGGACTATGATGATATTGCTGAGTTTGAAGTTTCAGAGCTAGACAAACTTGCCATGGACTTGCAGGGACTAACTGGAAGCCAAAAGAACATAGAGCTTGAGCATTTAGAGGAAAGAGAAGAACATTATGGAAGTAAAGATAAAAATCTTGATGGGGGGTTTTGGGATGATTTATTAAATGATGATATTGAGCAAGAAATATCAGCTTTAGGTGTTGGAGATGAAGATGAGGAAGATGTCGATGTTTTGGTTGAGCAGCTGGCCTACTTGGGTTCTAGTCCCAAGTAGAGAGAAGAAGCCTCATCCATGATCTAACCGTTTCGTTTCTGTCTTCTTCATAATTGATGGCGGCCTAAGGGGTCACAGTGATGCCAAAACCAAGTATAACGACTTTAAGGTTTGTTTCTTGAATCTTGACATAGACAAAAAGGAACTAATGCTGGTAGATTTAAATTGGAAGAATATTGTGTTGATCATAGAAGATCAGCAAGACTCAACCAATGTGCAGTAGCAAAATTAGCTTGTTTTCTTCTCTGGGATATTCAAAACAATAACAAGTTTACTATTATTGGTGTTCTTGTAGTGCCTTTCATACCTTAATATCTGTTTAATTTCTTATAATTCAGCAGTATTTTAGTCATTGTAGTCAGCTGTTGGAACTTAGGAAAACCCTCATTGATTATAACATCTTTCAAGTTATATTTTCAGTTGTAGAATGATTTTTAATAATTTCAGGGTGCATGGAATGGAATATTTTAAATTTGTTTTCCTAATCGAGTCAGGATGACGGATAGTTATGGTTAAGGATAGGGTTCAAAAAATTAGTTTAAGAATTTTTTTTTGCAATTAATCTAAGAATTAATTGTAATTTTTTTCTTAAATATTATCACTTATTACCGTTACTAACATTAAATTGATAAGAACAAAATTCAGTGGTTCATTTTTTTTAGGAGATAAGAGATAAGGGCGGTAAGATTTAAATTTTACGTATTTTTTTTAATTTTTTTAATCATTAAATTAAGAAGATGAAAATAAATGTCGTCGCTGATATCATTTTAAAAAATAATATTTAATAAATTTAAAATTTAAATTTATCCTGACATTTATTAATTTTTTATTCTTAAATTACGATTTGTTTTATTAAAATATATTTTTTCCTTCGTAATTAAGCAACTTCACATTAGGTTTTGCTAAAAAAATTGAAAAAAAAAAAAAAAACTATCGCCTAGAAATCATGTTACATTTTTGTCCCTGACTCTGTTAACCGTCATCTAAACATTTGCACCTCTATATTTTCTTATAAAAAACAACTTTTTTTTGGCATTTAAATAATAATTATATCAGGAAAGAGCTAGATTGCCGATTTGTCATGGTGGTGTAAAACAAAGTTTCTAGCTTGGAATCTGGTTTGCATTAACATATGCTCAGTCATATGTTTGTCATTTATATATTACACTATTGTGTTCTTGTTATTTTTAATTTTTTTTTTCATGAAAAATTGCATTTTGTATGAAGTATTTTTCTTCTCATCATCAACCAACTGCATTGAAAAATATGTCTGTCTTACATTCAAATTTTGCAGGTGACATATAAGTTTAAATTTTAAAAAAAAAAAATTTAAGATGTAAATTGTAATGATAATCACCATTAAACTGAGTTGAGGCAACCAACAAAAGTAGGCTATAACACCGTCAGGCAATTATGGAACATGTGCAGCTGTTAAAGAAGGGGCTTGTGCATGGCACCTTTGCCTTTTGCCTTTTGCCTGTTTAGTAAGGGCAAAAGGGCCAAGGGGAGAGCCTAGATCATGAACTTCCTCGAACAAGAAACTTGAATAAGGTTGCCACCACAAGAACTGAGTTGGCTCACATTAAACCTTTCTCAATTGTCTGCTCAAGAGATAGAATTGCACATGCTCCGCATGAGCAGTTGGCATGTGTGTGAGACCCAATGAGAGGAGCCAACAAAGTTGGTAAGTACTTCAACACTCTCTATATCCCAAATCCCCCAAAAGAAAAAAAATGAAGAATTATATTGGGGTTTATTACTTATAAGTGTATATTCCATATAAAATTTTAATAGATCTCCTCTAATTTAAAATTATAATTATACTCAATTAAAATAGGTGATATGCTTCCTCGACACCTTATTAATTTTGATCACTAATAAACAATGACTTTTTAGAATTGGTGTAAAAAAAAATGTGTTTGACTTGAGCATGGAAGGTTGAGTTGGATCAAAACCTAAATTGGGTGTGTTATTTTCAAGGGTAGGAATTCGTATGTCATCCAATATCTTTTCATGGTGTAACGAACATTAAACACGAAAATGTCAACAACATATCACTTCGAAAAACCTCCATTAAGATGTTTTATAGTAGCATCAAGTTTGGTGAAAACCTACAACTTCAAAAATTCCAAACATTCCCAAAGTTAATTTTTAACTATATTTTTTGCACTTTGCAATTGACTTCATTCTTAAGATAGTTTTGGTCTAAAACCAATAAAAACCTACTAAACTTTTGATAGACAACCAAACCATACGAAATGTTTTCTCTTCTTTCATTTGTGAGATGGAACACCTAACCATTAGGCCAAAACTCATGCTCAAATTAACTTGTCTTATTAAAATAAGTCACTTTGTTTATTGCCTTTTCTTTGAAAAAATGAATTAGTAAAAAAAATAAAGATGAATTAGTACATTTATTCTTTATTCAAAAAAATTAGTTTAAGAACCCATGAATTAATTTAAATAATTCATTCACATATCTTAAATGATAAATTTCAAAAAGATTAAGATTTGATTTTCAGCGCTTGCAAAATTTTTTTTTCGTTAATTTTCTCTTGAACTTGGACCTCATTCATAAATAAAAAAAAGTTCAAATCTTCTTCTTCAAATAAAAAAAAAATTATTAGCAATTTTCCTCCTCAACCTAGATCAGTAGTCATTAGTGAAGATGCCAAAACTAAAACCAGTTTTTTTCTACTAAAATTTTAAGGAGTATCCATCATACAAGCATATTGAAGCATTTTCAAAATTAGAACCGGGCCAATAAGGTTTAATGGAAGGTTCCCCCCAATTGTGCCAAGAAGAGGACCAAGGCAAGGGCCGATCCATATTACCTCAGCCTCAAAAGACTATTTTTTTACCCAGCCACACAGCCCAACTCTCAACTATCAATATTTTTTTCCTCTTTCATTTGCGGAAAAGCTTGTCTTTTTCTCTTTATAATTAACTAATTATCCACAAACCTTTCTCCCTCTTATTCCCTAACGCCTATCAACTCCTTTAAATTTATAAGCTCCAAATAAAAAATTTTAATATCATATTAATTCATTCAAAGATCAATCAACAATTTTTTTTTTTTTTTTGAAATAGGCTCTCAAATTTTATTTTGAGTTAACTTTAGTTTCTATCATTTAAAGTAGTCTCTATCTTTTAAATTATTTTATTTAGATTCATAATTTAAAAAAAATAATTTCATTTTTCTTTCTGTCAAATAATTTTATTAACTCTGTCGACTATCTGTGTTCTAGCTTAGGTAGAATCTGCCGTCAACATTTTTTTGAATTGTTAATGAAAAATGTGACAAAATGATTAAAATGAAGCTACTTAAAAAATTTAAAAATCCAATTGAAATAATTTAGAAATTAAGGATTGAAGTTGAATTAAACTAAATGATTCACCATTTTTTTTAAGAGTTGAATTTTTATAAAGTTGATTGATTTTTATCACTTACAATTTTTTTTTTCAATTTCACAATTTCTCCTATGCTTTTACCTTATTTGTTAAAAAAAAAAACAAATTACAAGTTCTTAAAGCCTATAAAACAAGACTTTTTTTTTCTTGGTCATGATAAAGGAATCTAAAATCACAAAAAAAAAAAAAAAGAAAAGAAGTTTTAATACAATGATTTGTTTGAAAGTCAGTGTACATCAGATGCCGGATGGAAAAAAAAGAAGTTGAAATTTTCACGAAGATATATTATTTATAATAATTGTATTATAATAAATTAATCAAAATTTAAAATTATGTAAATTTATTAAAATATTATATGAAGTCAACATTTAAAGTGTCATTTTTGTTTATATTTGATGAGAAATTTAATTTTTTACTTGAATAAAGATGAAGATAAATGTTAAATTTTTAATTGAGAATGGATATAATTTTAAATTTTTTATTAGATACAAAGAAGGAAAGGAGTAATATAATATTCATACTATATCTTTTATATATATTTTTATTTAAAAATATATTAATATATATGTTTATACAAAATTACATAAATATAAAAAATATAAAAAAATGTAAAAAATTAAAATATTATTTTTATTTAAAAAAATTATTGATATAAAAATTATTTGTACTCCTTAAAGATCCATAAAAATGAAAATGATAATAAATTTAAAATATGTATTAAATATAGATACAAAAATAAATATAATACAAAAATTTAAAGATTAAAATAAGAAATACTTTATTAATTTTTTATCCTATCTATTAATATTCCTACCAACACTTATAATTAATAAATTTCTATATAATTTTTTATTATAATTAAATAATTACATAATTATAATAAAATAAATTATAAGTGAAATCCTCCTTCCCTAGATGATAGATTATCGAATTAAAAAAAGTGAAAGGTTAAGACTGATAAATCCCTGAAAGTCAACAAAACGTATGGCGCACGTTAATTGATGGTACATCCAACATGGGATCAAATTTATTAGCTCAATTAATTAAATGAAAAGTCATTTTATTAGTTTAATTGGTATGAAAATTACTTGATATTTTTAAATTCATTTATATTTAATTTAAAATAAATAAAAAGTTATCAAACGGAATAAAGAAAAAATTTTTTTTCTCTACTTTCAAGTGGGCTCTTGCCGACTAAGAAAAAAATAGTTCTCAAATGACAAGTAGACTTTTTTTTTTTTTTTTGCGCCAGAAGAAGACTTCAATAGGAAATTTACATAAGCAAAGACTAAACTACCCTCCCTCTATAATATTGGAATTAGTATTTATTTGGAAGTGATAGAGATATTTTAAAATTTTAAAATATGAAAATTGGAATTTCCTTGTAGAGGCAAGTTTTTTCCTTTTCATTTTACTCCTAAATATAGCGTCACTGCTGATAATAATTAAAAACTCCCTTTGAAAAAGAAAAATAATATATATTTAACTTTTTAGTGATATGAAGCTTGCAAAAGAGACTTAAGCTTGAAAATTTTATCCAAATTTAATTTAATAAAAAAAAAATAATTGAATCGGTTCAAATCAAATTTGAAATAATTTAAATTTAAATTAATTCACTTTCAAATGTTTAATCCAAGTTTAAAATGATTTAATTTTAATTTTAAATTCAAAATGATTCAAATTCGATGGCTTGAACCTAACTCCAAAAGACTAGATTTTATCTGTCCAATTGTCATCTCTAACAGTGGCATATCCTCACTCTTCAAGGGTTTATAATTCTTAAACTACTTATATTTAATCACAAATGGACCAAAGTATGAGGAGAAAACTATAAAAAAGAAAAGCAAAGATAAGGAATGTTAAAGCATTATCAAAACATTTTTATGCATTGTGCAATAATTTTCATCGAATTTTCATAATCATCATCCCCTATTTTAATGAATTTTATAATAATCTATGATTATTTTTTGGCTCTACAAACAATAAAAAAGAAATGAAAAATGTTTATTGCTATAAGTGAACAATAAAACGAACAGGCAGGAAGTCTTTCAGCCATTCAAGAACCATCATCGCTTTGCTGAGCTGCTTGAAAACATTTATAATGTATTCTTGAAGAGTTAATGTGAAGGAACTCACTTGGCATGTATAAAAAGCTAATATGGGATTACATCGTAGAGTTTCATTTATACATTTCTTTCACATTATTGTATTAAACTTTTTTAAACCTTTAATTCAACTTTAATGGTCGTACATCGTACTTGATTTTTATCATAAAATTGAAGGATTTCGAGTATTGACGGATTTTTTTATCTTAAAATTGTTGGGAAATTAGTATCATTGAAGTTTGCTATATACATCGATAATTTCTTTCCGGGTAAAGCTTGAAAATCTTGCCCATGAAAAACAAATATTATAAAACCATAATGTTTACGAAATACACAAGTTTTACCAGTATGGAAACTTCATTATATATATTTCCATTGTGCTAAATTACATGCCTAAGGTGATAAATTACGCCTCATTTTAGCATTATATGACCTAAATTAGAAAATAAATAAAGTCAAAAACAGAGTCACACAAGGGTTCCGCCCTTAACATATTCAGTGAATGCCAAAGCAACAAGTCCCAACATGGCCAATCTCCCATTCCACAACTCAGCATCCGAAGTCATGAACCCTTCAGATCTGGACTCTGCTGTCACACCTCTAAATAATGGGATCAATGATGCAAGTGAGAGCACAATGCTGGTTCCAAGGAACAATTGGATACCACCGTTTGATATTTGGGTAAACACATCTTGGCCCTTGGATAGCTCCACTACCAGGGCTGCAACAAACCCAACCATCGCCAGTCTCCCGTTGATCCTCTCCGGTGCTGGTCCACTGAATGCTAATACATCAGAGAATTTCGTGCTCACTTTTGGCGCTGCTGGAGACGGTTTCGGTTTAGGTTCTGGGGTTGAACTTGTTACATGCGTTGCTGGTAATTGCTGCTGATCTCCCTGCAAGTGCAAAAGTGAATCATTTAAACTGGTTTATTAATCCAATGACTCAAATCTTAAAACCAGAATTAAGAAAACTTGAGCTTTAGAACTTTACCTCTGCCAAGCACCGGACCTGAAGATTGGCATTCCTCTGCAAACGAGGCACAGATTTTACAGGAGAAAATTGAATCACCTTGCTCCTATTAGCAACGCAAGTCACAGGACTTGCCAACAGGAGGGATTGCATGGCACTTGATGCGGCCATTGTCTTGCACGTTTACAATTACTGACCTGAGCAAGAGAATCGCAAAAGCTTGGGAAAATGTTTGATGAGCATTGAGTGATAGGCAGCATTAACTTGTATAGCATAGGCAAGGGAGAAAAGGGTAGTGGATATATTTAGGTCCACGTCATTTTGTATCCAATTCTTGAAAGTCAATGAGTCACGTGGACTTGTTGACCATACATGATTGAGTTTGGTGGCGTGTGCTCTTTTACGACCAGAAAATGAGACCACTGAATCTGAGGCCATCAGCATTCATGTTGTTGTTTCCATTACAGCTAGGACACTCTGGTTATCTTTCAGCATGGGGCGTGGCGTTTTCTGGATTCTCGATGGAAGATTCTAGGCTCTTACTTCTTAGCCTGGACATGCATGCTCGTCAGTCGTCCCTCCCAAGACGCTGGGACGGAATAGTAGTTGTTGGGCCTTGATTTTAAGACATGGATCGTGTTCAGGGACTAGACACAACAAACTTGTTAACTTCGGGTTTTTTTTTTTGGTTGCAAAGTTAAACTAAAGATCTACCATGTTAAGCTATGATGGTAACATTAGAAGATCATAATAACAACTTGACAAGCCAATTCAAAGAAAAATGTTCCAGTTCCTGTAAAAATAAACATGCAACGTTGCATGTGATGTTGTCACTCTGTCTTTTCTGCATCCTTTAGTTGGTTAATTTCCAGTTGTTCTAATTTCCAATTCAAATCAAAATATTGGGCAGTTGAAGGTCACACACAGCTCAGTTTAATCCAAGAAAAGGGAAATATTCACTATTGTTTTCCCCTTGACTTCGACTAGTGCAGTAGTGCTTGATGGTAACGCTCGCTGATTAAGTTTGAGAATGAAGGATTTTATACTAGTGCAGTAGGTAACGCTCGCTGATTAAGTTTGTGAATGAAGGATTTTTACATTACAAGATTGTCCGGAAATACAATATACACACACACACACACACACATTCACTAGTTATCTATGTTGAAGAATATTGACAATTTCCATTTTTAAGTAGGGTGGATATCTTCTCAACAGGTGATCAATTTTAAGAGTACTCGAATTTTTATCTCACTTCCAATATTTTATGGAAATGCATGATTTCCTTGGATAAATTTCTTATATTTTTGACATAACATACCTGAAGACAAAAAAAAGAAAGAGAATGAAAACCCAAATTGTTATAATTTTTTTTTTCACACAAGAGATCAAAGCATAAATGAAATTGGGGAAAAGAGAATTTGTAAGTGCTAGAGCTCTACTCGACATAATCATCTTAGGTCCTAAGAGAATTGTCTTGGCATAAACATCTTAAGTCTTAAAAGAGGTAGGTGAATTATTTGGGGTTCAAATTGTTATAATGTCATTAGAAAAGGGTTCCGCCCTTGAGATATTCAGCGAATGCCAAAGCAAGAAAACCCGACATGGCAAATCTCCCATTCCACAGCTCAGCATCTGAGGTTAAAATCCCCACAGAACTCGACTCAACTGTCACCCCTTTTAACAATGGGATCGAAGATGCTACTGCTATCACAATGCTGGTTCCCAGTAACCATGGAATCCCACCATCAGATATCTGAGTGAACAGATCCTGGCCCTTGGATAACTCGACTGCCATGGCTGCAACAAAGCCAATCATCGCCAACCTCCCGTTGATCCTCTCCGCTACTTCTCCCCTAGATAGCACATCAAAAGATTTTCTACTCGCTAAATACTCCTCCACATATTCCTGAAAGTGCCAAAAAAGAGGATTTTCCTAGATCTGAAAACCATGTTCAACGTTAAAACTAGGGACTTTATACTAATCATGAATTTACCTCTGCAGAGCAGCAGATGCATACATTGGCGTTCCTTTTCAAACGAGGCACATGTCTTACGGGAAAAAACTGGATTACCCTATTTCTGTTAGTAAGGCTAGTAGTCAGAGGACTTGCCAGGAGCAATTGCATAGCAACTGATGCAGCCATTTTACTTAATTTGAACGTTAATAGTTTCCGAAAGACTAGGTGAAATGATGAAAAATTTTGATCAGGAGCATGGAATGAAGCCAAGAACTTGTTACTGATATAAAACTGAAGCAACTGAATGCAATTTACTATAACTAGTAATTCATTGCATTAATGTAACAACTAAGTTAGGTAGCATGGACATATATAGTGTGGCAAGTGAAAAAGGGGAAATGGTTAAATTTAGTTCCACATAGTTTTCAAATGATCAAAGAATATGGAAAGATATCAAAGCATTCACTAGTAGCAAAGAAAAGACTCTAAAATCTTGCGATCTTAAGTTTAAATTTCATTGTGTATAGACTTAATTCAAATATATGTTGGATTGATTTAATTATGTTATAGTTTATTTGTTTAATTACTCATTCATTACTAATTTGATGTAATACTTTATTATAATTGTTACTTATAATTATAATTTTATGAAAAAAATCAAACTACCACTTAATTTTGAGTTGAAAATTTTCTTAAGACAACTCTTACATTTATATTAGGGAAAGAGAATCATATCTTTTGATAACAATTATTACTTTTCTTTTTCAAATAAAATCTCAAGATCTCTAATAAAATATAAAAATCCTTAATTTTACGTTTTGAATTTGGTTAGATTTTTTTTCAACGGGGTTGTTGATGGTGTTTTTTAGTGTTTAGCTAGACGGAAACTTATGGAGGTTGAAAGCGAGGGAACCTAGATTTGTAGCCAGAAAACACAATCAATCGACATCTGAGTTGGTTTTTTAGGATGTGCTTTTATGCTCAAGTTAGTGAAATTATTTAAGGCTTGGTGAGTAAAAAAGTAAGAAGTATTGAGGAAACTAAAATGGAAAGGAATGCTTAAATCTTACTTGTGTGGACTTTTTTTTATTTTATATATGAGATGAAAGGTAATGATTTGATTGAGATGATTGATAATTGATGATAAGTTTACGTAAAATTTAAAAAAAATTTATGTAGATAATTGCAAATTACATTTAATAATTTCTTATAAATGTGAATTACATTTAATGATTTTAAATAAGTTAAAGGTAAAGTGTTTTATTTTAAAATGATGCCTTGGACATTAGTAGAGGTGTCGGGTGAGCCCTTTCTCGGCAACGGGCGAGTCAATTCTAAGGTGAGGGTTATGGATGTTAACCCATACTGTTGGTGACGTAACAGCTTGATGTGTGTTGGCTAAGTGACCAAGAGAGTTGACTTTGTTGATCAGGTAAATAGGTTTAACAATTGCGCCCCCAAGTTTGAGAAAGGGGGTATAAAGTGACCTTCCTCAAACAGTCGACTAAAGTCTAGGAAAATGCATTTCACAGGAAGGCAATGTTGGATTGGCAAGCTACCTTAATGACATGTCCTTGCAAGGCGAGGAGTGCTTTGTTGGCGAGTTACGTTGATGATGCATCTTTGGAAGGCGAAGAGTGCTTCTTTTGAGAGTTGCGTGGTTAGTTGAGGTATAGGGAATAGCAGGGAAGGATTTAGGAAAATTTTTATGTGAAATACTAGTTCACTAGGCTGTGCGTACGTTGGTGTAGCACACTTGATGGGGCGGTGTGAGGTATGCGCCCATGTTTCTAAATAGTGCGGCTATTCAGGACACGTAGTGCAATGGGGTTTGAAAGTGATTAGGTGTAATGTGTTTAAATTTTAAATTGAACTGGTTCTTTGAGAGGGAATGAATGTATCTTTTTTGAAAAACTGGGAAACCGAAAGGTTGGGTTTGAAGGGGATTAGTTTGGGTCATTTTGTAATCGGTTGAAACGGTTTAAATTGGTATCATTTTACTGATGCTATTTAATGTTGAAACGGTCCTAATTGGTACTATTTCACTCATGTCGTTTAGTTAGTTATAAATAGTTTCATACTCACTTCTGCGATTTGCTTACAATAAAGAGATTTTGTGTTCAAGTTTCTTTATGCTTTGTTAATTGTCTTTCTGTGTTCCTGCAAACTTTCTATAGGTAAGCAATTTTCATTAGATTTTTTATGATCTTTTGTTGGTTTTCTAAGAGATATATGGCACCAAAGAGGAGAATTGTTATTGATAACTCTAACGATGATGAGGGTATCAAGGTATTTACCGCCACCATTGGTGGCTAGTATAGGGGTGAAGTAAGGTAGAGTAGAGAAGAGGGGGCCCAAGGTAGAGGAGAAGGGGCCCAAGGTAAAAGCCACGGGGCTAAGGATAGGATAGATGCTTGTTGCTAGCCTCTTTGAATAGGGTTTGGCATATTTGGAAAGAATTTCTCATAATAAAAATAGAATAAAATTGTGGGTAAACCATAACTTTATGATTTTAACGTATGGATGATTATATATATGTGTATACATATATATATATGTATAAAATATATATATATATATACATGTATGGATGACTTTAATGTATGGATGATTATATAATATATATATATATATAATGTTTATCTTTTCATTATGTTGTGAAGTAAAATAGGTATAGCAGAAAATAGACACATTAAAGTTTTTCTGGATGCTTAGGCTTGAATCAATAATCACATTGTTCTTTGTTTGTTTTGTCTAAAAATATTTGAAAAAAATACAATATTACAAAAAAAAAGGATCTATGTAAAGCTGTAAAAAAAATTATATTACAAAACTAAATATTTAAAAAAATAAAGGAAATGTGAAGAACATTTACTTGTTCAAATGATCAAAGAATATGAAAAGAAATCAAAGTGTCACTAGTAGCACGAAAAAGACTATGAAATCTTGCAATCTTAAATTTAAATCTTACTGTGTGTGGGCTTTATTCAAATATATATTAAATTTATTTAGTTATGTTTTAATTTATTGTTTAATTACTTTGATGTCATACTTTATTATAATTATTATTTGTACTTATAATTTCATGAAAAGAATCAAGCTCTCACTTAATTTTGAGTTGAAAATTTTCTCAAGACAACTGTTACATTCATACAGGGGAAAGAGAATCATATCTGTTGATAACAATTATTACTTTCCTTTTTCCAATAAAATCTCAAATCCTCTATAAAATATCAAAATCTCTAAATTTACTCTTTAAATTTGGTTAGATTTTTTTGAATAGGGTTGTTGATGGTGTTTATGGGTGTTTAGCTAGATGTAGAGATGTTTATAATTTAATTTTAATAGAATTAACTGACCAAATCGATTTAATTTGAAATAATTTGGTTAATTGGTTGCTACTTATTAAATTCGATCGGTTATCGAAAAAGATTTTAGAGAAATTGCGGTTTTTGGTTAATTTGGTTCAAAAATCGAATTAACTAAACTTTTAATCGAAATATAATAAAAATTATATATATAACTAAAAATATATGAAATTACTCATATCATTTCAAGTTATTAAAGGTGTTAACTTAATATTTTGGTATTTAAATATTTTGTTAGATGATTTTATTTAATTTGTTTTAAATATAAGAAATTAAGAATTTAAAATATAATTTAACTTAATGTATTTTATTATTCAGTTAATTGAAAAAATTAATTGAATCGATATAATTGATTTTGGTTGGTTAATTTTTGAAATTAAAAAATTCAATTTGGTTAACGAAGATAGAATAACATAATTTGGTTAATTCGATTTTGGATAATTTGGTTTGAAAGTAACAGAATCAACCAACTGAACACTCCTAGTTGATGGAAACTTGTTGAAGGTTGAAGATGAGGGAACCTAGATATGTAGCCATAAACATGGTTGAAGGGTGTTGGAGTTGGTTTTTTGGGATATGCTTTGAAGCTTAAGTTAATGAAAGTGTGTAAGGCTTGCTGAGGAAAAAGGTAAAAAGTATTGACGAAGCTATAATGGAGAGGAATGCTTAAATCTTATGTACCTAGACCTTTTTTTTTGCTATATATAAGAGATGAAGGACGATGACTTGACTGAAATAGCTGACAGTTGATGATAATTCTATGCAAAGCTTAAGGAAGGTCTACATGGATGATTGCAGACTGTATTTAATAATCTAACATAAGCATGTATTACATTTAATAGTCTCAGACAAGTTGAAAGTCAAGTATTCAGTTATAAAATAATACCTTGATAGAATGTCAGTTGAAGTATTAAATGAGCTTTTTCTTAATAAGAGACGAGTCAATTCTAAAGCAAGGATTCTAGATGTCAATTCTTACTATTGATGACATGATAGTTGAGCGTGTATTAACTAAGTGACCAAGAGAGTTAACTTTGTTGATCAAATAAATAGGTATAACAATTACCCTCCAAATCTACAGAGGGTTATAAAGTGACCTTCTTTAAGTAGTCGACTAAAGTCTAGGAAAATGCACTTTGTGGGAAGACAATGTTGGCTTGGCAAGCTATATTGGTAACGTGTCTTGCAAGGCAATGAGTGTTTAGTCGGTGAGTTGTGTTAATGATGCATCCTTAGAAGGTGAATAGTACTTTTTTAGAGAGTTGAGTGATTAGTTAAGGTACAGAGAACAGTAGGTAAGGACTTAAAAATTTTTTTATGTGAAATACTAATTCACCAGGCTAAGCATGCATAGGTGTACTGCACATGTTAGGGCGATGTGGGATACGTGCCTATGTTTTTGAATAGTGCAGTTGTTCAGGACATGTGGTGCAATGGGGTTTGAGAGTCATTAGGTGTAATTAACGGATTTTAATTTTAAATTGAAGTGGTTCTTCAAAAAGGAATGAATGTGTTTTTTTTGAAAAAGGGGGTAATTGAAAGGTCGAGTTTAAAGAGGATTAATTTGGGTTGTTTTGTAATCGGTTGAAATGGTTCAAATTCATACCATTTTATTAGGTTGTTTATTGTTGAAACAGTCCTAATTGATACTGTTTCATTTGTGTCATTTGGCTAGTTGTAAATAAGAAAGTTAAAAAATTTTCAGACTCACTTCTATGATTTGCTTACAATAGAGAGATTTTGTGTTCATATGTCCTTATGCTTTGTCAATTGTCTTTCTGTGTTCCTGTAAACTTTCTATGGGTAAGCAATTTTTGT